TTTTTTTTTTTTTTTTTTTTTTTTTGTAAGTATAAATTTAGACTAACTTGTAATATTAAAGTATATTATATTAATTTTGTAAGAAATTAATAGTTTTATTCAGTAAGAATCCATTAAAATTAGGGCTGCACGATAAATCGCATGTGAAAGCCCGCAGGTGATGGAGATTTACCGCTGATTACAGAACCGGCTTTCTGACAAGATGCGCATTAAATATCGCATGCGATTTATCGTGCAGCCCTGATTAAAATCATCAAAATTAACAGCAAAGACATTTATAAAGCTATAAATGATTTCTATTTCACATAAATGCTGTTGTTTTTATCTTTTTATTCGTGACAGACTCCTGAAAAAAAAAGGGTTTTGCAGTTTCCACCTAAAAAAAACAACAGTACTAGATGATGGAAATGTACTAGTTTTCTCTCTCTCAAGAGAATTCCCAATTTTCATGTCAAGCGTGGTTCTATAAGGCACACAAAAGTGAATAGAAAGTGAAACTACATATTGTAGTACGTGTTGGAAAGATAAATGGCTCCGCTTATGTCTGTATTTGTTGGGGCTTGTTAAATGAAAATTTGCATGCTCAACAGTCTTTTTGTGATGTACAGTATACGGCACATTGTGTTCTCTCACTCGCTGACCCCTTACTCTCTCTTTATTTCTCACCAATCTCAATCTCTCTTACTTTCGTGTTACTTCCACTTTTCTTTCATTGCTCTAACCTCTCTTTTCTCTCGCTCGCTCTCAGGGGACACCCATTGTCGCACAATATAATTGAATCCCTTTTTCGTTCCATTTTCTCTCATTTTCATTTTCGCAGACCTCCTTACACCTTCCAGCATCAACCCACATCTTCAGTATATGACCTCTGAACACAACTTCTAAGCCTTCTCGCTTTTAATTATCTCTAATTAGTAATTACATTTTTCAGTCCTTGTAAAGAGCCGTTTAAGACTGTATTAATTGATAATAATTTATTTTAGAGATTTTTGAAATGCAAGCTGCCAAGATGTTTTCAGGCACACACAGCCAAACCAAAGAACAATTCCCCAAAATCCTTAGAAATCCCTTTTAGAGTAATTTCAACCACAAGCACCTGATAGATGACTGATAGATTCCACATGAATCTCTCTCAGAAGAGCTGTTTGGCTTGTTTGCAAATCACCAGGTGCTCAAATTTTTGACATTATAATGTGTTTGAACTGTTAAGCAGACCTAAATCTACTGGCTTTCTCGAAACGCATTAGAAATAGTTGGCACAGTGTGTTGTTGTTTAACCTGTTCAGACATTTTTTTTTATTGGTCCACCTCTTTAAATGCTGCAATGAAGCCTGAATATAAATATAAGTGTGTTCATTTGTCAAGCCTGCCTAAAGATGAACTGTCTTTTGAGCATTTTCTGAATCTCTTATGTTAACATTGTCCTCAATAGGTGATATGCATTGAGGATGAGTGCTGTCGGGGAAAACTCGTCGGACCCTGCCAGGTCAGAGGCTCAAAAGCGCAAGGAATGCCCTTCAGACCTCCTGGGCCCAAGGTACTTCACCTAGACACGGCACGCAAACCAGTAGACAAATGAACAGCAGGTTACGGTGAACTCTGAAACTGCAGTTTGTATGTGTAGCAGAGTGAATTTCTCAGTGTCTACGCTATGAACCGCTGAACTGCAATAATCTTGAGCAGGCCTCCCACCAGTGGAGCTCAGCCTAGATAATACACATTTCTATATAAAGCCCTTTTCCACTGAGTCAGGAAACATCAGTCTGTATAATTCATTCATAGGAAGGAGCATGCCTATGCATGCCTTCTTTATTGACGAAATTTTCTGTGCAAACTACTGAAGATGCAGAGCAGCAAATTGAAAATACAACCTGTTTAGGGCTGCACAGAAGCTCTGGGAAGTTTTGTCTATTTCTGTGTCTTGCTTTTGCTGTTGAGGATTGTTTAGATTTTTTTAGGTATTTGTTTGATCCTAATGTCATAAAGCATCATGTTTCAGGAATTTGCAAAATTGCATATCATCAGAATTGACTAGTCATTGGGTTGTGTGAAGACTGTTAACATAGACAAACTTGAAACGGCATCTTAAATGCAATTTATCATCCAAAGACACCCCATAAGCATGTGTACAACATTTAAAAATATCATAGACTGAATAAAAGAATGTGCAGTCCTCCTGAATTTTCAACAAATAATGAAACTAAATGTCTGTAACATTTTTTTTTTGCAGAAAAGTAAAAAAAAAAAAACAGTCGTTTTCTCAGTTATTGTTAAAGTTGCAAATTTGTTACAAAAATGCTAATGTTGCGATGGTATATCCTAAAAGAAAAATATGCTTATTAAATTTTTTCTTTTTCTCTGCATCTTTGCCAAAATAATAGATAAGTACAAGCTGAAACTAACAAACTGAGGAGGCCATGATATTTTTCACTTAAGCAGTACACATGAAGCATGTACTGGGTCTGACTGACAAGTTTTAGTCTTAATCATTTTTTGTTTCTCTTCACAGTCCCAAACGAAGCACTGAGAAACGTAACCGGGAACATGAAAATAAATACATAGAAGAGCTCGCAGAGCTGATTTTCGCAAACTTCAATGATATCGACAACTTCAATGTCAAGCCTGACAAATGTGCAATCCTAAAGGAGACCGTCAAACAGATTCGTCAAATTAAAGAGCAAGGTAAGAAAACCAATTAATTCTTCTTTGAACTTACATTATTACCTGTCTTACCTATAAATCTTCAATTAAAATACAAAAAAAGCTCCCTAAGTATTAACTCTCAGGCTTGAAAACAACCTGCACATAGTGTTACATTCACTGAGCATTAGCATAGTCAGACCTTTGCGTTAGGCTAGAAATTATTAGTAGCTAACACAAGACACATGTAGGCTTTTTCAGGTTGTTTAGCAAAATATATGGCCTGTCTAGAGATCTTGAGAAAGAACTTTGTCAAATCAGCCATCGATTCCAGATTGGCTTTAAGCAGGAGCCTACGTGGATTAGCATCATGCTAACTGCAAACATGCACTGATGTGAAACACGTGCTATGTGGCTTTCATTTCTCACTGCATTAAGAAAAAATACAGAAACCAAACACAAGATTTAATTAGAAGTCACAGCTTCATTACTTTTCTACATATGTGTTTTATTTTAAAGTTGTCTCGAGTTATCAGGGATGTTTGATTCAGGAGTCATTTGTGTTTCTTTGTTGCTAAAATTATGCGCAAGTTTTGGATCCAGGTGCAGTGCTTGTTAAAATGTTATGATTTTAGTTACTTGAAAAGTTATGCGGATAAATTTTATCATAACTTCTGAGAAGAAGCTTAACTGAACCTCTAAGAGTCCCTCCCCTATTGATGGATATCATATATCTCATCCTTGCTCTTCCTGCGATGAGAAATTTCTTGAATAAACTTCTTGGAAATTTTCATTATGGCACAATCATTAATATAGACTGATACAGATTTAAATAAATCATAAGATTGGCTTACTCCTGCAGTGTTTTTCTGCCCAAATTAACATCTGTGTTGTTTTGAACCGTTGAGACTTGGTGCTGTTTTGACGTGTGTGTCTGCATTGATTCAGACTGGGCTGTGATGGAGATTATTTGTGATGTACTGAGCTCTGGGTTATGTAATTCTGAGCAATGTGATGCAAAGCTAACGGAGCGATGGTCGCCATCTGCTGCGTCGTCCCTTACCCCTCCTTCACCTCCCCTCCGCTACGCTCGATGCCACACGGCCACAGCTTCACACACTGCTCTAACTGTGCTGGTACAGTCTCAAACTACCTCCAAAGACACAAATGGGCCTGTTTTGCCTGTAAACAAGGCCTCAAGTATAGAGCGCAGCAGTCAGCTTTCCTTGTAAAGGAAGCACAACATTGTTGACACTCACAGGAAGCCCTTTAAAGCAGAAGCTGCTTTCTGCTAAAAATACCGTTTTAAAGGCTCACAGTTCTGTTCCTCACATTTTATTCAGACCCATACCAACAAATGTCTCTTTGGAGAGATTTTTTTTTTACTTCGTTCCTGTGGTTAAATATGAAACATTTAAAAAGTCACTGTCATTGAGGTAGTTTAGGGATTTTAGTGTGTGCTGGGAAAAATATAATGATAAGTGTAATTTAAGTCACATAAGGAATTTCATGAATTATTGTTTACTGCTTGTTAAACTGATGATGAATGCTAGCATTTATAGGGATAGTTCACCAAAAAATGTTACCATCATTTTCCTAACTCCAAACCTGTGTGACTTTTTCTTACACAAATTGAGATGTTAGGTCAAATATTAAGAATTGACATCCTCAAAATGTGCTCACATTAGTGGAATTTGGTGAAATTTCGCAGACAAAAATTGCCCGTTGTCAGTAGTGTAGCGACCAACTTGAATCCATGTTAAATCTGTGTGGGGAAAAATTTTCACGCTCATGCAAATTTCCAGATTATGTGGATTCCTATTGAAATGACAGGATTCCGATTGCGAAACTTCGCTGAACAACAGCACATTTTTTCCACACAGTGAAAGTAAATGGTCAACTAAACTGTCAGTCTACCTAAAATCTCCCTTTTTTTTTTAATGTGAACGGCCCCTTTAAAACAGTGTTTACATTTTGAAAAAGTGTAGTGATTATTGCCAGGGTGTTGCTAAAGTGCTATGAGTAACCGCATTACTACGCGGTTGCTAGGGTGCTGTGGGTGGTTGCTCAGATTCCTAAGAGTCCACCTCCAAATCTCTAGATTCCTTTCCATAGATATGACTCGGATCCTTCCTTCAATGTGAGAATATTATATTGTCCATCAGGTGAATATCGAAAATCCAATTGCCTAGCAAAATATTAGCGCACCTTTCCTCAGTAAGTTGTGATTTGAGGTATAATTCACAATACAAATGGTGCAATATAAGTATGAGCAATAATAATAGTGATGCTATTATGCTAGCTATGCTAGCAAGCATGACTAATAAATTGCAGCAGTGAACAGTTTCCTTCCTCTTTGCATAGGAAACACAATATGTTGGACATTTATCTGTAAAGGGTGTTTATAGTCTGTAGTTCATCTGCTACACATTTAAACCCCAAACTGGAGTTTGAAAACTGGATTATGTTTAATTACACGTTTAATTTATTCATTAGTGAGTCAGCGCTTATAAATTTAGAGACTGAACAACACCCAGTAGATGACGAGATATGGAATTCTCCCATGGAGAGTCATGACCTAGTACCTATGATCAGACTGTGCACTGATTGGTCGAGAGCAGAGTCATGGGTGGGGTTTTGAATTGTGACTGATAGGGCAGATCCTAAAGGCTTCAAGAAACTCCATTTGCTTTTGAAGTAAATGATATGGCCTGATTCACATCCTTTCTGGAGATAACACAGCCTTTTCTTTCTGTTTGATGGGGATTGGCTAATGAAAAGGAAACCGTTTTAGCGCCGAGTTTGAAATGAAAGAGGGAATGAGTTATCACCGGACCACTGGTGCAGCTGTGCTGGTTTACCATTCCCTGCTGGGCACCGCAAAGACCTGCTGACACAAAACACGCTCACATCCACTCATCATCAGAAGTGTACGCATGCGTATGTCTCCCAGACACACACGCACATATACGGGAAGAGCAGCGTTTGGAGCATCCCAGAACGGTCTGAGGGGGAGGCTGATGGATGGCCCTCTCTCTTTGCCATATGGCTACCCATCATGCCAGCACAGTTTGCCTCTCTATCGTGTCCTCTGCGAGCCCACTGCAATCCCGACTACTCTCTTTAATGGATGTGAACAGACAGGAAGTTAGTTTGGTCTAGGGAATTGTGGGTAGGCCTGTCGCAATAATCAATATATCGACTTATCGTGCAATATATGTACATGACCTCAATCATTTTTGGTGATGCAATATATCGCCCATTATATTTACTTAAAATGAATGTCACCATGTTTTGTACATTCCACTTGCGCCTGTGTCTTTTGCAGCTTCTCGTACATAATGTGGTGTAGTCATGAGGTGCTAGCTCAAATTTAAAAAATGCTTCTACAAACAAAGTTTCGTCTGCAGATATGGGCTTGTTTAGGGATCTGTGCCTTTTTGCATACGGACATCTGACTGCTAAGTAGTAGGGATTGTGTTTTTCAGCAATAGTGTGCACCCTTAATTTACAGAGAAAAGAAGGTCAGGGAAAAAATCTGTCGATGGAAAAATCTCCACACAAGTTCTTTGTGCATTTTTCTTTTTTCTACTTGTTACTTTGCACTTTTTGTCAGAAAATGTTTATTTACTATTTATTCAGGTTTTGTAAAATAGTTGGTGCTAGTTCAAATTTAAAAAATGCCTCTACAAAAAAAAAGTTTCATCTGCAGATATGGTCTTGTTTGGGATCTGTGCCTTTGTGCATATGGACATCTGACTGCTGAGTAGTGATTGTGTTTTTCAGCAATAGTGTGCACCCTTAATTTACAGAGAAAAGAAGGTCAGGGGAAAATCTGTAGATGGAAAAATCTCCAGACAAGTTCTTTGTGCATATTTCTTTTTTTCTACTTGTTACTTTGCACTTTTTGTTAGAAAATGTTTATTTACTATTTATTGAGGTTTTTTAAGGTATCTAATATTTTGATACTTAATTTCCATGATCTAAATATTCTTAAAAATTAAAAGTTTGTTGTAATTTGGAAGTGTGTAGGCCTTCTTGCATTATTATGCTGTTACATTACGATTATATATTCAGTGACTAAAATGGTCTTTAAGATGACAATAATATCGCTTATCGCAATTATTTCTGGGGCAATATATCACACAACAAGAAGTTGTTATCGTGACAGGCCTAATTGTGGGATTAAGGATGTTACTGATGGCAGAAATTGTTAGTGTTATTTTAGTATTGTTTATATGCTAATACATGGTTGTGAATTTGCTCTTATTTTTATATTAACTTATTTCAGTTTAATTTTGGTTGAAGTTTCATTTATTTGTGGTTTTGTCATCTTTATTTTTTTTTGTCCCCGGTTTCACAGACAAGGCTTAAGCCTAGTCCTAGACTAAAATGCAAGTCTGAGCTGTTTCAAATGAAAGAAACTTGCACTGACTGATCTTAAAATATATCAATGCCTTTGTTTTGTCTCAAAAAGCACACCAGTAATGTTTTTTTCTAAGGCACGTTTATAAAAATTACTTAAATGTCCTAATTAAACTATGGCCTAATCCTGGCTTAGGCTAAACCCTGTCTATGAAACCAGGCCTTGATGTTTCTATTTTACTTCAATTTTATTTCAGTTTGTTTTAGTAATTTTAGTACTTAAACTTATTTTTATTTTACTTAGTTGCAAAGGCAAAATGTATTTTTAAGTTTGTCATCTATTATTTATATTTCATTTTATCTTTATTTCAATTACTATAAACGTTTTTTTGTTATAGTTATAGGTTTTTTTTTTTTTTTTTTTTTTTAAGTAACACTTCAGAAAATGCTTTATTACATCTCACATCCTTCATAAATAGTGTAATTTAGAGTTTAGCCACTTTCCCCGCATTATTTACATCTCTGGATCATATATCACCCCAAAAAGAGCAAATTAATATAATAATTACAATATTTCAGATTTTTTCTTTACATAGTGACTTAATTTAATAATTAAAATAACAATGAAAAAATGTTTTAATGACAATGAAACAAATGTTTTTTTTTTTTACAATAAC